TTTAATCCCAGCACTCAGGAGGCAGAGGAAGGGCAATTGCTGTGAGTTCGAGGCCAGCCTGGTCTACAAAGCCAGTTCAGTATGGCCAAGGCTACACAAAGAAACCATGTCTGGAAAAACTAAGAAAGAGAAGGAAAGAAGGAAGAAAGAAAAGCTCTCATTGAAGCAGGGGCAGAAACAGGCTTTTTTATTGTTTTTACAAATATTGTTTATTTTAGTGAAGCTAGTACAGACGATGTCCTCTGAAAACCCATGTCCCAGGCAAAAAAACAAAAACAAACAAAAAAACCCTACAGACAGAATCAAAAGGAGCAGTGTCTGTTGTACACACTGCATGAGTAACTTTTAAAACTGCTGATGAAGGTTAGAACTCTGAGATCTTCTGACAAGACTGTGGTACCCAAGATGCTGTCTTTCTCTCCAGTGAGACACCTTTGGAGTCAGTTGTCACTCTCACTATCTGTCGTCTTGACTACAAATGTGATGTTCTTCTTTTGGTCCAGACCCTCAGATTTTAAAAGTAGCTTCAGGCTGAGGAAGGGTCACTTTCCCACAGTTCAGTTCTCTGAAGAACTTCCGTCTCCCACTGAAAGCCACCGTCTAGGAGTGAAGCAACCACATGCTGGAGCGTCAGGGCCAGTTGGAAGGTTACAGGAAATCTCGCACTGGTCAGCTTCTTATCGTCACAAACCTGAAAGCGCGCACTCCTAAAAAGGGCAGCCCCCCTGGGCACACATGAAATTTCTTAAAAAGGACGGGCAATATTAAGGGAGCTGAGGTCTGATCACCAAAAATCAGCACAACAAAAACAACCAATAATGAATGTTGGACACTAGAATTCAGATTAGCAGACATTCTAAACACACGGAGTGCCAGTATTCAGTTTTCATTTTGAACACTACATTACAGAACTATTTTTAAAAATAAAAAAGGACTGAGGGAAAAGGAAAAAAATACAAAGAATTCTCTAAACCGTCAAGTGACACCCTGCCTCCCATTTATTCCTGATGAACTTCCGTCACATCTTCTTCCTCCATTCCCAGTTCTTTTGGACTATGGTTATCAGCAATTCCCTGACCTTCAAAGACAAACCTGAGTGAATTCACTGGAACTCCTGGTCTTTGACAGTATGATTCTTTGAGTTTCTTGAGATGTGTTGTCATTTTCACTTTGAAATGTATCTCACTGCTATCCTGTCCGATAACTGAGTTTAACGTATTTTCCTTCCTTCTTATCCTCTAAGTCCTCAGTTGAAGGTTTTGCCTCCTGATCAGATATGGTGATGATGGTGTCTTCACCCGGGGGTCTCCTCCCCACAGAGGCCTTCGTGAGGCAGAGCCTCACTCTGAGGTTTACTCAGAAACAGATTTTCTTTTCTTTTCTCCCCCCTCCCTTTTTTTTTTCAAGACAGGGTTTCCCTGTGTAACTTTGGCTGGCACGGACGTACTTCTTTGTAGACCAGGCTGCCTTCGAACTCACAAAGATCCACTTGTCTCTACCTCCCGAGTGCTGGGATTAAAGGCTTGTACCACCACTGCCTGGTAGCCCAAAGCTTCTTAAGCTTGAAAGATGAAGAGGGGGGTGTAGCTCTCACTTGGTAGCATGCTTGCCCAGCTTATCTGAAACCCTAGCGCCACATAAATCAGGTGTGGAGACAAAAAGCCTTTAATCAGAGCACTTAGGAGGTGGAGGCAGCGAAACGGGGCAAAGGTCCATCTTGCCTCAGCTGAAGCCATTTTGATTTCTGCTTTCTGCCCTGAAAAGTCCCATGGGAAAACACTCAACCTTGTTCTACAAACCTGTGGCTGGGGGCTGGAGAGATGGCGATGGCTCACAGGTTAAGACCTCTGCCTGTTCTCCCAAAGGTCCTGAGTTCAAGTCTCAGCAACGATATGGTGGCTCACAACCATTTATAATGAGATCTGGTGCCCCCTTCTGGTGTGCAGGAATACATGCAGGCAAAATACTGTATAAATTTTTTAAAAAAAAAATAACAATTAAAACCTGTGGTTGGAATGAGTGATCTTGGTTCTTGTTAAAACTGTTTGCTTGTGTCCCCTTGCAACTGCCAAGCAGGATGTAGTTTTACTGTGTTCCCATCTTTAAAAACTCCCTGCAATATGCATTTGGCACTGCTCTATGAAACATGTTTCTCTCCACCAGCCTGCTTAATAGATTCTTAATTCAAACTTTGGTTTATGGTCTTTGGGTCTCTACCCCATAACAGCAAGAGGCCATGGTAAGTTCTAGGCCGGGCCATGGAGATTGCTTAGTGGATAAAAGCATTTGCTGTGCTTTCCCAGCATCCACATAAAAGCTACAGTGAAATAACAGGTGGAATCAGGAGAATCCCCAGAAGTTCACAGACCAGCTAGTTTGCTGTGCTTTGTGGGAAAAACAACAGAGACTGTTTCAAAGAAGAGAGAGAAGCCGGCGCTGGTGGCTCACACCATTAATCCCAGCACTCAGGGAGGCACAGGCAGGTGGGTCTCTGTGAGTTTGAGGCCAGCCTGGTCTACGAAGCAAGTCCAGGACAGCCAAGGCAACATAGAGAATCTCTGTCTCAGAAAAGAGGAGGAGGGAGGAGGAAGAGGAGAGATGGCTCGGAGGTTAAGAGCACTGGCTGCTCTTCCAGAGGACCTGGGTGCCTACATGTTGGTTCACAACACATGTACACACCTACACACACACAAACACACAAACACACACACTCTCCAGAGCTGAGGAGAAGGTTGAAGTTTCATGGAATAAAAGCACTTGACATAAAAGGCTTGTGACCTGAGTTTGATCCCTGGAACCCACAAAGTTGGCCTCTGACCTCCACAAGTGAGCTCCCACACACAGATCATGCTTACAGTACTAAGTTAAAAAAATAAGTAGAAAGAGAGGACACCCAAAGTTGCCCTTTGATGTCTACCTGCAAGCAAACTGTGGCCTACATGCACACACACCCATCCATGTGAACTGAAGTTTGAATGCAAGTGGTCCCACGGGCCCAGATACTTGATATCTTGGTGGAACTGTTTGGGAAGGATAAGGTATTGCTGTGTTGGAGGAGTGTTGGGTTTTTGTTTTGTTTTTTTAAAGGTTTATTTATTTTGTATATAGTCTTTTGCCTGTATGTACACCTGCACGCCAGAAGAGGGCACCAGATCTCACTATAGATAGTTGTGAGCCACCATGTGGTTGCTGGGAATTGAACTCTGGATCTCTGGAAGAGTAGCCAGTGCTCTTAACCTCTGAGCCATCTCTCCAGCTCAAGGGTTGGGTTTCTTGAGGTTCCAAAAGCCCTAGCCATTTCCCAGTTAGCACTCTCTGTCGAAAGATGTGAGCTCTTAGCTACTACTCCAAGCTTTCTGCCATGATGATCATAGACTCTAACCCGTGGAAACCACAAGCCCCAAATTAAATGCTTTCTTTCACAAAGTGCCTTGGCCATGTTGTCTTGTCATGGCAATAGGAAAGGAATAAGGCATGAATGTATACACACAGGCACACACACCCATGATCCAGGTTATTCTTAAATCCAGAGTGAGTCTGAAGAAAGCCTGGGCTCCTCCCCCTACCAAAGGAAAAAAAAAAAGCCTAAGCCTTCAGATCATGTATCCTATCCTTTGTCCTAAAGTCCACCACTTGTTGAAGGCCACACCTATGCCGAGAATTAGGAAGCAGCAACCCCGACGATGGCAATGTTCGGGCAACAATTAAGAATTCCCGGATCAGTCTGTGCCACGTGATTTGAGTGCTTCATGTAGACTCAAATCCACTTCCTTGTCCTCCCCTGAGGAAGGAAGCCTGCTCTTCCTTTAAACATTTACTGTACACTTGCTGGCTCTTGTTTTCTGAGTTTGGGACTAAGCTTTCTGCATGCCCAGCATCCCTTGAATGGGCACTTTGCTGTCAGGGCTGGGTGTGGTTTGCAGGAAGTAAACCCTCACTCATCCTGGAAGGACCACGGCAAGACAAGAACCACCCTTTAAGTCATCTTTTTTTCTTCTAAACTCTTGGCAAGACTGAGTCCCAGACACCCCATGACCTGCCCCCATTTGCCTCCCAGACACTGCTGGCTATGTTTGGCTTGGTGCCCAGACCTCCCTGCTCTCTCCCTCCTCTTCTCTGCCTTCTTCTAGGCTTCTCCAGGGTAGGTTTTGGATTCTCTGCTCAGAATTTTCCCATTTACTGTTTCCCCTAGCTGTGTGTCTAAGGGACAAATACATCTAGGTGTCGCTGACAGGAGACAGATCTGTGCAAGCCTGACTCATCCCCTCTTAGCCACTGCCACCCTCAGAGCAAAGAGCAAATCCATCTCCTTCCTTCCTCCTCCTTAAGATGTGCCCTCCCACAATCCCTGTTACTTCTTAAGATGCCTTTCAAACATGATAGGCTCTTCTCTGGATCACACAGCTTATTTATGATGCTCTTCCCCATAATTAAGGCTCTTTCATCTCAGGACAAATCAAAGGCTCATTAAAAATTCATCCTCCTCAGGCTTGGGGGTGTATGCCTGGGCTCCTTCCTAGAAGCTCAGGCACAGGCTAAGGCGAAACCACCGAGGCATCGTCTCTGATTCCTCCTTGACCAAGCACATAACTGTCCGAGTCTCTGATGGGCTGAGACTGGGGCACGGGTTGAGCAACTGCGAGGCGGGTCCACAGATTTTAGGAGCCAGCCCGTGCAGCAGTGCCCTGCCGATCTTGACGGGGCCTGGGACACCATTCTCTGCTATTGCATGGTGTGACCAAAGAGGGGAGAAAGGTAAAGGAGAAGGAGGTACTTTAGTGGGAGTCTGGCTGCTTCTGTGACCAAAGGAAAAGAGAGGGGCTTCACTTTCCCTAAGGCAGTGCTTGATGGGAAACCAAATCCTAAAAGACTCAAAGGAAAACCATAACCTGGGAAGAAAGAAACGAGGAATTCGGACTCAGTCCTTTCCTAGAACAGGCCAAGTCCACCCACTCCCAGGCGCTGGTTGCTGACTTACTTTTGGGTTCACCAAGCCCGTTCTTCATCATACTCCGCTAGACCCTACCGTCAGAGCTGGGACTCCCCACCCAAACTCTTAAGACTCCGGCTGCTTTTCGGTGGACGAAGCCCACTTGAAACTGTCCATGCCCCTTGGCAGCAGGAGGTCCAGAGAGAGGTCCCGCTGCTCAAGTTCGGAGTGCACGGGTCGGTAGCCCAGCAGCTGCAGGGCGCCGGCGCACAGCTCCTGGACCCGCCGAATCTTGGCAAAGGGCAGCGTGTGGCGCCAGGCCTGGGACACGCTGAGCGCATCCCTGGACGTGGTCTTGAAGGCCTCGCGGCGCGCGCCTGGGCCTGAGCCGTGCGTGATGTTGTGGATCCAGGTCTGGAGCTGCGGCGTGAGGCTCAGGCCCGTGAAGGCGTAGAGTCCACGGATCTCGCTGAGCGGGTCCCGGGCCAGATCCTCGTAGCGCACCAGGCGGTAGCGATCCCGCAGGAAGGGCGGTGGCTTGCGCAGGGCGGCCTCGGCGATGCGCACATGGCTGCGGCACACCTCGCTGACCACGCGCAGCCCAGGGTCCGCCTCCACCCACGTGCCGTTAGTACCCAGGACGATGCCGTTGTCCCGGGCCAGCGCCTTGGCCGTCTGCTCCCGGGAGCGCAGCACGGCCCGCGGGTCGCGCACCAGGTGCACGATGCGCAGGTCGAGCGCGGGGTCGCTGAGCAGCGGGTACAGCACCTGCAGGTTAAAGAAGCGCACTTCCTTGAGCACCACGTGGCTGTAGGAGCTGCAGGCTTCCTGGGCCAGAGCGAAGGGCCGAGCGGCGCACAGAGGCTTGCACACCTCTTCGCTGCTGATGTTGCCACGGGCGAAGGCGTTGCAGACGGGAGGCGAGCACAGGGCGCGGCTCACCGCCCACTGGAAGAGATCCGAGATGTTGCGGCGCCAGGGCAGGTAGGCATCGAACACGTCCAGGTCGCAGAGGAACACCGAGCGCACCAGGTCGCGCACGGCCATCTGGAGCGCTGGGGCGCTGCCCCGCGACAGGGTATCCCACACGTGCCAAGCTGGCTCCATCAGGTAGAAGACATCTGGATGCTGGCTGAAGAGCTGGCCCACGAAAGACGAGCCCGAGCGCCACGAGGACAGCACCAGCACGTGCACACGCCCCCCACGGCCTGCTGGGGACAACGGCGTTTGGCGGGAGACCAGGAAGATCAGGATGCAGGTCTGGGTTATCAGGAGTGAGAGCACGACAGTGTTGGAGAAGCGGGGCAGCCGCATGCCTCTGGCTAGGGCCTATGAAAAGGGAGGGACGGGGTTAGCTACCCTGGCCTGAGCTGGCATCCCAGGCCCAACCTCTGCCCGTTGCCGGCTGCACTCTGTTTGTATCTACAGGAGGACCATAAACTCTTGCTCCTTTCGCCTCCGTCTCCTACCTGCGGGGATTACAGGTATGTGTTACCGCACCTGGTAACACATGGTATCTACCATTTTTCAAACAAAATTCCTGCCTTTTGCTTAAGGGACCCTCTCACGGATCACCTTTATGAGAGGGCCATGTCTAAGTCTCCAAGCTTTTCGGTCCCCTGCCTCTTAACTTCCTGCTCTGTGACATTTAGGGCCAGGCAATCTCTCTGTAGCTCTATTTACCCATGGGCTAAAGGGGGGTAATACAGGCATCTGGAGAATGTAATGAGTAATCCCCATGGCTGAAGACTGGAACCTTTACAGTACGGTGTGCTTCCATGTCCTGTGATTTTTTTTTTTAATTATGATGAACAAGCAGCACAGTTTTGTTTTGTTTTTTAAATATTAAAAATAAGCAGGACATGGTGAAATGGCTCAGCGGGTAAAGGCACTTGCTGCCAAGCCTGAGGAACTGAGTTTAAATCCCTGGGATACACATGGTAGAAGGACAGAGCTAATCCCAAAAACTGTCTTTGTCCTTTGACCTCCACATATGTACACACCCAAACACCTCCCTTCACACACACACACACACACACACACACACACACACACACACACACAAAGAATGAGGGGCGGGGGAGGAATCTCGTAGCTCAGTAAACCCTGCATTCAGTCTCAGGCTCAGCATAAGCCAGGTATGACAATGCACACCGGTAACCCTAGCACCTGGGAAACAAGCAAGAAGGACCAGAAGTTCATGGTCACCTTCAGCTACGGAGCAAGGCTGAGGCAAGTCCACGTGACATGACTTTCAGTCAGGAAAAGAAGCAAGCACAAAGGGCTGGAGATACAGCTCAGTGGTAGAGCTCTTACCTGGCATGCCCAGGACCTCAGGTCCAACACACACACACACACACACACACACACACACACACACACACAAACACACACACACACAATAGTTAGACAATATTGCCATCACCTCTGTGGAGAAAGTGCTGAAGCTAAGATGGACTCTAGAAGGAGGGTGTTCTCTGGAAGTCATGTCTCAGAAGCGCCCAGGGAAGTGCTCCTGGGGAGGAGGTAGAGAAGCTGAGAGGCAGAGCGGAGGTGCGCCCTTCCCCCGCTGTGTACTCACTGCTGTCTAGGGCTGGGAGAGCTGCTGTGTTGATCGCTAATCCATGGAAGGTTCTTCAAGTCTGAGAACACAGGAGGAAGACTAGTCAGAGCCCCAGAAGGGAGAGAGCCCCACACTCACAGAAAGCTCTCCAGGATGGGGGCAGCGCAGCCCTGCAGTTTTCCAAATGAGTAGGAGCTGATGGACTGCCCTGGTGCCTTGAGTCTGCAAACTGCCAGGTAGGAGCCATAAAGCCTGATCTGAGCATTAATACCTTCTCTAAATCTTTGGCCTCAAATTTACTCTGTGTGGAGAAAGACCTTGAATGTGACCTTTTGATCCTCCTTCCAAATGTGAGGAGAGGCATGCACACACACACACCCCCCCGTGCCTGGTGTATGAGGTACTGGGGTCAAACCTGAGGTGCCATACATGCTAAACCAGCACTCTAGTCACCAAGCCCCACCCCCATGGCCTTTGCCCTCTTGCCTCAGCCTCCCAAGTGCTAGGATGACATTTAACTTCTCAGGGTTGATGTGAGGGATGACCTGTGAGGTTGGCATGGGGGCTCTGTGAAAGTGAGCCAACCTGAGCTCACTTACATATCTTCTAGAATAGATTTACCTCTGATGTCTAACAAACCTTGCTCCCTTTAACAGTCATATTTGTGCAGCAGGTAAGAGCAACACTAGGCCCAGCTTCCACACCCCAAGACCCTAGACTTTCCTGCCTATGTACCTTTTGCTTCTGCAAACGTTCCCAGGCTTTCCTTCTTTGAAAGGAAAAGACTGAGACGTTCCTCCTTGCTTTTGTAGCATTCTCCTCCCACCTCACCTGCTTCTCTATGGAGACGACCACTGAGAAAACCTGAGGTCTGAGTCCTGAACCCATCCCTTCTCTTTGCCTTCCTCTCACCGGGAGGTCTTGGGAGCAGATAGAGAACACTTAAAATCTGTCTTACCTGCTGACTCCGAGGGTCTCCCTGGATCATCACCCAGCCCTAGACAACCCAGAAGATGGGATAACTGCCTGTCCTGCATGAGTCACCAGGTTTGCCAACAAGCACTAGTTGCTCTGTGTTTACACAGCGATTTAACTTAAACGCCCCTGCAGTGGCCTTTATGATCTCAGGCATATAATTGGAGCACTCAAGGCTTGGTGAGTGTGGGGAGGCCAGGACCCTAGCTTCAGGACTCCAGTTTATAAGTTCCTGGCACTTCTAACGGCAGCCTGAAGGTCTCTCCCATTTCTGATTGCTCTCTTGCTTTCTCCCAAAGCAAATGCAGGAGCAACTTCATCTTGACCCAAGCCAAAGTGTTTGTCACCTGTGTTCTAGGAAAGCCAGAGCTCTTCTTAAGTGACTTGTGTACTAGAGGCAGTGTCATCTGACCCTGTTCCTGGAACTCAAGAACTAGGACGAACTTGAAATAGCCACACAGGGTCTCTATGAGCCCAGCAGGTCCTATGTAGCATTAGCTCATAGGGACTCCAGTGTTCTCACTCAGGTTAATTGCCAGAAGGTGGAAGCCATGTATTTTTACCTTCACGGTCAAGTTTTACCTTCTCAACATTCTTAGAAGGTGGAGATAACTATCCCTGTCTATTTTCATTGAAGCAACTAGAGTTCATGCACAGGAATATACAGTCAGCAAAGACCAGCAAAGGTTGTAGCTTAGTGATGGAATGTTATCTTGGTGGCGATGGTGGGTAGAAGAATAAGACATAGATAGGTCTCAGGGGTACCAGGTGGTGGTGGCACATGCTTTTAATCCCAGCACTTGGGAGGCAGAGGCAGGTGGATCCCTGTGAGTTCAAGGCCAGCCTGGTCTACAGAGTGAGCTCCAGGACAGCCAAGGCTACAATGAGAAACCCTGTCTCGGAAAAACAAACAAACAAAAAATAGAAGATAGGATTTTTAAAAGCAGTTGACAGCTAGAACACTCAGTGTACTTAAGAGGACATTTCCTTTTAATGAAAAAGGTTATTATCTTTGATAGTAAAACTAATAAAAGCTGTACCTATTTACTCATGCCAGTAATCTTAGCACTTGGGGAGGAAGAGGTAGGAGGGTTGTTTGAGGACATTCTGGGCTACACCAGACCCTGTCTTAAAAAAAAAAAAAAAGCAAATAAAAACCATAATAAAACTGTTTTCCTTGAGAGTAGATCTCCTTCGAGTTATAAAAAGGGGAGTGAACAAAATAGAAGGAATGTGGGAAGCAGAATAAAAAGAGAGAACATGGAAAACAGACAGGAGAAACCAAGAGCCTCAGTGCAGAGGGCCTAATGCAGACAAGTCAATGTCCTGATGGAGTTGACAGTCTAGCTGTGGACATTAGGACTCCCCCGTGGGACCTCAAGAGATGGTTCCGATGCTAAGAGCACTTGCTGTTCTTGCCGAGGGACTGGGTTTGGTTCCCAGCACCCACATTCACAACTTACGACCACCCATAATTCTAGTTCCAGGGGATCTGGCCCCCTCTTCTGGACTCCATGGGTACCAGACACGCGCACAGTGCACACACATGCACTCATACACATAAGATAAAACTAAATCAATCAAAAAAAAAAAAAAAAAAAAAGCAGGGGAAGCTCATCTATGATCAAAAGACCAGAGAGATGGTGGTCCCAGTGAATGGCCCAGACACTCAAGCTTGGAAGGGTCATATCTATTTCCTTCCTGGATTCTAATCCACCCCTTTGCTTTTGCCAGTCCATCTGTGTGTGTGTATGTGTGCACATTGCCTCAGGACTATCTAAATCTGATTGTAACCATCTACTCAGCTTTCCAAATGTGCTGCTAATTCCCACCCAGAATCCTCTACACCAGGGTTCATCAAAAGAGCTCCAGGCCCCAAGGCCCCAGATCCTCCCTCTGCTGTATAGCCCTAAACCTGTCTCCACCTGGAATCTCAGCTTCCTCTGATGTAACTGACTGCCAGGGTCTCCCAAGGCATGCCCCTCTGCCCTATGCCACCTTCTTCTTCTTCTAAAGATTTATTGTGTATACAATGTTCTGACTGCATGTACACCTGCACACCAGAAGAGGGCACTAGATCTCATTATAAATGTGAGCTATGTGGTTGCTGGGAATTGAACTCAGGTCCTCTGGAAGAACAGCCAGTGCTTTTAACCTCTGAACCACCTCTCCAGCCCCCATTTCTTCTTCTTGCTTGCAGGCAGCACAAGGCTTGGGGCTGTGGTTTTTCTGAAGCGTCTTTAAGTTCTCAGGGATCTGGTGTAGAGCTTGGCAATGCATGAGCCGTCTGACCATGACTACATGTCCTGGGCATATGTTCTTCTCAAGACAGCCTCTAAGCTGGGTGTATGGTGGCAGGTACCCATAACCCCAGTATCTGAGAGGTGGGCAGGGGTATCAGGAGTTCAAGGCTAGCCTGATCTAAATGAAACTGTCTCAAAAACAATAAACAAAAACCAACCAGACAAATAAACAGCCATTAGATTTTCTGTAAGGAAGCACTGCTTATTCATTCTAAAGTGCCCATGGTTTTCTAACAGGACCCTAGACCTTAGTAGGCCCTGAGACCTTAGCACAACTGACTCCATGACAGAAGTACCATTCAGGCTGTAAGACTCAGCACATAGACAGCACCACCTGCCAAACTTAAAACAAAGGCCTAATCCATCAACGTCCACGGTTCTGGGAACATCTCTAAAAGCGCTAACCTTGCTTTTTGCCTTCTATAGTTCTGTTTCCGGCTAACTGTGCTTGTTCAATGAAGTATGTCAACCCAGGACATGTTTTTTTGTGCTTAAAAGCTCACACTGAGAACGGCTCAGCCGCTGCACTGGGATCTCAAACACCCAGTGCAGTCTCCGGCTGGCTAGTGCACACGTCTGAGCAGTCTTCTCTGGCGAATACCCCACAACATTTCTGCAGGCACAGCGAGATCCCAGACACCAGACCTGGAGACACAGGGGTGTCAGAGCCCCTTGCAGCAAGGAAGAAAGCATTGGTAAGAGGACTATCGAGGGATGTTCCAGGTTCCTGGGTGGATTCAGTGGCTGCCTAATGCCTCGGGGGTGGGGGGCGGGGTCCTGACACCTCCATCTTCAAAGGAAACAAATTAGAAAGTTGCCTGGTCTGTCACCTTAGGAGGTAACTCTGGTGGCGGTGCCTTCGGTTTGGACACCTAGGTGACGTATGTATGACTGTGTGGGGGCCACCCGGCTTGTTTTTACTGTGTGTCAGTGTGTGTGTGTGAGAGTGTGTGTGTGTGTGTGAGAGTGTGTGTGTGTGTGTGCGCGCGCGCGTCTATCGGTTCTGTTTCCTTGTACTGACCAGTGGCTTTCCCTGCTGTGAGACCCTCCTCCCAGCTTAAGACCTGCGCCCCTCCTGTTGGAGACCCAGATCCTTTTAGCTCTGTCACCGTCACCCAGAGAAACCCCCCCAAAAAAAACCTCATTGCCTGTCTCCTGCTCGTTGTCAGGGTTGGTCCCTGTGTGGGGGTGGGGAGGAGCTGGGCCTCTCATCCAGGGACCCCTGCCATCTAAGCAAAATGCACACAGGGAGGGGGGAAAAGTTCCCCGGGTGAACATTTCCTCTACTACTCTAAGCAGCTCCGGAAAGAACTCCAGGCTGAACCCGAAGGAAAAGAGGTTCCACTTCTTTCTCTTTTGTGATTTATGTCTCCTTTTAAACCAGTGATCCATAAGAGCCACCATTATTAAAAAAAAAAAAAAAATCACTGGGCAGGGCAGGGGGGATCGCTTCCAGACAACACAGCCTGGGCAGAACCGATTTTTCCCTTCTGTCCAACACTGACCAGGGAGACTTTAAAATTTTTTCCGCTAGGTCTTTTTAAAAAGGATTAAAGACAGCTGCTAAAAAGATTTCCTTTGTCACCTAGTCAGGCCCAGAAATTTTAAAAAAGCTGTAAAAGTTAGAACAATTTAAAGATATAAGTAGGTCTCAGTTGCTGGAGCTGGCCGGAAGGGTACTTAACATCAGAGAACTGATTGAAGCAAGACCTTTTGAATGAACTGAGAGCCATGGTTGCCTTCTCTGATGATGAGACTAGCCTTACAGATATT